TCGTCTAGTCCCGAACTTAATCCGCTGGATTATGATTTATGGTCAGTTTTAGAGAGTACGGCTTGCTCTAAACGCCATGATAATTTGGAGTCCCTAAAACAATCCGTACGATTGGCAGTGAAAAATTTTCCCATGGAAAGAGTGCGTGCTTCTATTGATAACTGGCCTCAACGTTTAAAGGACTGTATTGCAGCCAATGGAAACCACTTCGAATAAGCTTTTTATACTTTAAATTGTTCTATATTTGTGTATTAAACTAACACACTGTAAAAGTAATAAATGTTATTTGCAGTAGATTTTTTTTCCTTTGTCTCAATATTTGTGGCAAGACTAGGTATATACTTATATATTATTTGGCGTAGGAAATTCGAATTATTTTGCCAGATATTCAAGTCGGCTAATAGAGATCGTGGGTAATAGAGATCACCGGTAATAGAGATAATGTCATGTGTAAGTTTTATTAGCAGGTTCAATAATGGGATTGGGAACCAATAAAGCATTTTCTTTTACTGATTCGAGAATAAGTACTTCTTTAAAAGTCAGACCACTCTAAGGACGCTCCAACATGTATTATTATAATATGGATTAGACATACTATTATCTATACAATAATATGTCAGACTTGACCTCCAATATTTCATTATCACAGAAATTTTACAATTCATAAATCATCTGAATAATTTGAAAACTGATCGGGTTCAACAAGTATTTGCGATCAGCGGAACTATTTTTATTCTTGTTACAATTAAACCCATATAATTTTCACATTTGATATTACTTCTTCAGCTTGAAAAGAATTTCAGTGATCGATTTTATTTGGCTTTGTAATTTTACGTTAGTTTAATCGAATTAAAAAGTGTAGACCTTTAAAGTTAGGTAAATATATGTATGTACATGTAATATATAGAGAACGATAACAGTGGTGCATTTCTTAAGTAGGATTTCCTTGTCCTCAAGTGAAAGTTCTTTAGAAAGGGCCCGTCAAGGCTGCGTGCGGTGAAAGTTTAGTAGTGTAACAAATTAAGGTCATAATATGTTCTTATTCAAATTAAATTTCGTAGGAAAATCGAATTATAATGCGAAAAAGGAAAACGGACCCGATCGTCTTTTTTTGTTTTAACCCAAACAAAAGTACTACCATAAATATAATTCAATCGAATGTTTACTGGTGGTAGGACCTCTTGTGAGTCCGCACGGGTAGGTGCCACAACCCTGCCTATTTCTGCCGTGAAGCAGTAATGCGTTTCGGTTTGAAGGGTGGGCGCAGCCGTTGTAACTATACTGAGATCTTAGAACTTATATCTCAAGGTGGGTGGCGCATTTACGTTGTAGATATCTATGGGCTCCAGTAACCACTTAACATCAGGTGGGCTGTGAGCTCGTCCACCCACCTAAGCAATAAAAAAAAACGTAATAGAAGTAAATTCAGATCATGTGAACCTAGAATTAGCCTTCAGGGTACAAGCGGTTTCATCATTCATTCAAAGGTCCATGGTAATAGTAAACATTACGAACACAAGATTATATGTGCATGTATTACATACATATTTACATTAGTGAATGCATTTGCATTCAGAAGCTCTTATCAGTATTTTACTAGTTCGTTTTTATTTGATATGGATATATTTTAATGTTATGTATTATCAAGCAATTTCAAGCACACAGCAGCTGCAGTCTATTTACCTCTCTTATTCAGTTCATATTCACGCCTAATGGTTTTCTGGAAGCTATCACCTGATAAGACTGCATAATGTACTTTTTTGATTTCAATTATATCTGATCTTTAGTCTTTATCTATTAACTATCTTAGGTCTATTACAATAGACATCACTCTAAGACACAAATAGTCACATTAATATAACTGCTTCCATAAAGACAATCCATTAAGCTTCTTGCCGGCTCTTCTCAGTGGGTCGCGTTTCCGATACGGTGGTAGATACAACGAAGCACCGCTCTTGTTAGGGCCAGTGGTTAAAAACTCTCTTAGGTTGAGCCCGCTAGCTCACCAATCAAATTAAATCAAATCAAAAAAAAATTATCTATATCTATACTAATATTATAAAGAGGAAAGATTTGTTTGTTTGTTTGTTTCGAATAGGCTCCGAAACTACTGGACCGATTTGAAAAATTCTTTTTCCATTAGAAGCCGACATTGTCCCTGATGAACATAGGCTACTTTTTTTTAATTTTTTTTTTATTTTTTTTTTTGTTTTCATGTTTGTTTTAATGTTTCCGAAGCGAAGCGAGGCCGGGTCGCTAGTTCAACATAAATGAAAGTACATACTTGTTGAACGTCAAAAGAACTACCGCCAATTCACAATCGGCCCACAAGTGGCTGGAACAGCCCGTAAGGCGATTAGGTAGAAAAAAAAGGAAAACTCTCGATGTCTTCTCCCTTAAACCATACACCAAACACTAGACCTTTGCCATAACAGCGATGAACAGTAAAACAACACTTTTAAGGGCATCGTGAAATTTTAATGCCACCGCGGTCAAGATTTAGAGGTGCGGTCATAGTAATGGTGCTTTATACAACGTTTGTCTTCATTCCATTTTTATTCTTCCTGTTACAGTTAATTAGGTTTACATTGATTTGTTTATGGAGTATGTTTGTTGCTTTGATAACATTATGTACGTAGTTATAGAAAAAAACAAACAACATACTAATATTCTCATAAGAAAAATTCTTTTAGATTAAAATATCTAAATTGTTACGCGGGTAGAATGATTTATAAAGTAATATTTCGATAAGCAATAAAATACAAAAAAATCTAGAAAAAAAATATAGAAAAGCATTTTTAAATGTATGTAAGTTATTTTTATTTGAAATTCACTTTTCAATATTGAAACAATGAATAAAATATTTATACTATTAATCTGCTTGCACTGTACTAAGGAAATTCAATGTAAGATTCAAATATACGTACACTTATAATTTTTTCTGACTAAAAACTTATTTTTGAAAAGGAATTTCGCGACTCTTTTTTATATTTTGCTTTTTACAAAATCAAATTTTTATTCAAATTACTTATCGTCGTTGCAAATTTGAAATCTCCTATGTGTATAAATGTAGTTTTCGAGAAAATGTAATGATATTACTTCCTGAAAAAAAATATGCAAATATTTTTTTAGCACATAGGATACTTTGATCTACAATAAAGTGCAAACCGAGACTTAGGTTTGTTTAAGATTGAGGCGTAATACAATGAAATATTGAGATATGCACATGCGAGTTTTTGCTGAGTGTAGGTATTCAAAATAACTTTCATAATATATGAAAACATTATTTTGACCCAAAATGTCACATAGAAGATTTTAAATTTGCAACAACGTTATGTAATATCTTGTTTATGCACATTTTCGTGACTTAATTAATAATTGAGATTGATGTATATTAGGAAACTAGAATTCGTTATTGAAGAAATTTAGGACACACCGCATATTTGTACTTAAATTTTTCTATGTCAATAAGGAACAACTAAAAGTGTAATTTTGTTTTTAACGAAGCTATGACGTGAAATCTGCCGTCCATTATGTTGCACGGAATAACGACTTATCTATCCGTCAAACAGGAAAATATTATTGACAGGAAACTTCTATATCTAATTGTAACTTGAGACCGAAAATATTTTCTAATTATAAATACAATAATTATAATGATTCTTTCAGTTTAAAGATTGATATCTTTTTTTTAACTTGCCATTATAGGCAAGCATATATTTCATCTGATGGTCATTACCGATGCTGTTGGACGACAGCACTGCTAGGGCATAGCCAAGCCATATCCGATACATAACTTGTCGGATCCCCCGGATCCATACTTTGTAGTTTAAGACTCTTCAAGCACTGGTCACCGTCTGCCATCTGTTATGTCTACCTATAGACATAACCAGTTTCTCGCCGGATCAGCTCAGTGGATCGTGATTCCGATCCGGTGGTAGATTCTGCGAACCACTGCTCTTGTTAGGGCTAGTGTTAGCACATTCTCTAAGATTGAGTCCCATGAGCTCGCCTACCAGTATGGCTGAAACAGCCCCTTAGGCTAACAGGGAATAACGTAAAACAGTAGGGAAAAATAACAAAGCCACTAGCTATTGTTGACTACTCTTTGCAAACCCCCTTCGAAGGAAGATATATCATCACGCTTAAGAAACACTGAGGACGAAAGTTCGTTTTAAAACATAGCGAAAAAGATTTTCGGAAACTCAAACATCTATTGTACTGTACTTATAAAACGCAAGTGTGCTAATCAAACAAAAAACTAAAATCGTTACTTTTCTGCAGCCAACGATGAAGTATTAAAATATTGGTATGTAACACAAATACTATATAGAGTAATCGATTAATTCAATTACAATGCAAAAGTAATAAAAATGACTACTTGTTCTTTCGTATTTTTACATGTAGACTTTACTAGTTTATGGGCTAGCTATAAATAGTTGCGGCAGCTCGTAAATATTAGAATGTCCCGTCATACATCTTAGGACACAAACTAGACCGGTCACTTGTATTCTATAATGGCTATCCAATTCTTCACATTGACATCCATGACTGCTTCATAGTAAAAATGTAGAATGGTGCAACCTACCTGTCTTGTCTTAAAATTTTCCCTACCACCGGTAACCACCTAAATTTATATATGTTACCCAAAATTTAAGTTTACTGAATTTATTTGAGACTTGGTGTATTTGTTGTCAGCGATACTAAAAACGCTAGCACGATCGTGTATTTATATATGAGCTATATTAAAAAATTAAAAAGAGGTTATAGTTCGCCTTTTTATAAAGAATTCGATCATTTTAATTGGGCAAACAAATTCTTCGCCTAATTGATGTTAACAGTTATCAGCTCCACTGCAATAAAAATGAGATGCCGGAAGCATAATCTCAAAGTCTATTATTAGACTCGTATCCTAACTCACAAGCTGTTGTTTCTTCATAAGCAGAAATGAAATTATTGTATAATTCTGTCTGATATTACACAAAATTTTCCTTCATTAGGGAACCAGATTTGGAGCACAGAAGAGCAAGCTTGAGATTAAAACCTAAAGATGCCATCCATAATGAGAGACAACAACGACAGAAGCATAATCGAGCGAGGAATGTTATAAAGTAAGTTGTACTAATCTACTACAGTGGGAGGTCTATTAGTGAGTCCAGCAGAATGGCCTTGAGCAGGAGTGGCGGCACGCGTCAGGTGCACTCTCTCCTAGACTACATGCTGACCACGACTACTCTGTCAAGAGTGAAACGACTGACAAGAACACGAATGTATCTATTTATCTAATCGGTATGGGCCGTTCTTCGCTCATGTGAGCATCAAAATTGACTCAAACGATCATATTTAATAATGTAGACAATAATTATACGTAAGTAATACAAGTTTTAGAGGCGTTCGTAAAGCTACATGTGCTGAAAATATGTACTCACAGATTCATTCACATAAGTAAGACCGGACGAACAAATAACTACTATGCGTTTCGATTTTCCGTAATTTAGGTAATGGCCGCGAAGTCTTTTTGCTTCTTTTAGTGGTGTTTGATCAAGTTACTTCACTACTACATATAATAGATATCTACACGGTGATAAATTATTACCGCAGCGCGAAGATGATATATCGAGACATGACATCGAAAGATCGTTGGCATTGAATCGGTCGATTGCCTAGGCGTCAAATTTGAAGGCACGATCGCTTTACAGTAAATTTACAAGAACGCCTTCAGTAAATACGCATTCAAATTGAGGCTACTAATGTTGTATTTAAAATGTAAAGTCGTCGTGGTCTAAAAGATAAGACGCTCGGTGAAAACGTATCGAACGATGTAGCGCTTAAATGCCGCAGGCAGACACCAATTTTACTTAAGAAATACGTGCTTAAGTTATGTTCACGAATGACTTCGACAATGAAGAAGGACAATATCATGCAATAAGAATCAGATCCTTAAATATAATTTTCGTGAATACAAAATGGACACATATGTAGATCTCAAGTCTCTAAGTGTGTGGTGGCATTAACGTTGCGCCATAACTTTGTTCATTTGTTTAGGCAATAAAAAAATATTATATTTTTGTATTCTCAGATCAACGTTTGAAAGCCATCATGCAAGAACTACCAAGATTCAAAATGACTTATCAAGTAGTGACCGAGATCATTTGCATGTTAATCTTGATAGAAACGCTAAACGTATTCAAAACCATAATAAGATGTTTATGAAAGCAAATGATCGGGGAAGAGCCGGTTGGCCGAAATTGAAAAAAAACTTTAATGGATTAAAAAGTCGTCGAAATGTCGCACGGTGAGTATTCTAGAATTGTTGTAGTGCAGAATCTGTTATTGCTACGCTGACATCACATATTTGTGGAATGTGTACGCCACTTATCATAGGTTGATGATAACATGACAGAAACCTTTCTTGGACAAGAACAACAACAACTATACAATGTCTTTATTTTATCCGATCAGCTTAGAAATGCTTAAAGGACAACATCACGAACTGAAGATTCTATATGATTTATTTAGATTAATTGATGAATCCTAAAAGCTTATGATGCGCCTATTAAGACCGATAAGTGGAAGAAGATGAATAACTAATATTTAACGTTGGGGCAAACAGTTAAATAGACAATAATAATAATAATAATAATAATGGTACTGGATACAAAAGGCCTAAGCTGAGGTGACCTTATTAATAATAGTCTCTCTTGTTATAAATTGAATGAAATGGATTTGTAACCGCCGCGCCGCCTCTAGGTACCCCTGTATCCTCAGTTCTCAGTCTCATGTTTCCTCAATTAGCTTCTCAATTTATTCTAAAATGTCTATCGTATAGNTCGGCAGATGTACCACAAACACAGGCCGCGCGAACAATGGCCGGGCTAACAAAAGCCGGGCGAACAAAGACCGGGCGATCGAGTGGACGATGAGCACGTCCGCACGTGACGGGTGCCTCTATCGGAATCGGTATAGTCTGGTATTTACTGTACAGAAGTAATCGTTGGGCAAGATCTCTAAATCGTATTTAAGGGCTCCGGTAACATGAAATCAGATGAGTTTTGGAGAGATTATGCGAGTCAAAGCTAATTTAAAAAAATAATAATAGATAAACCGAAATCTTCGCAAAATTTTGAAACCAGAAAATAAGAAAGAAATGTCGAAAGCAATTCTAAGCAAGCAGCAACACACACGTTTTTACAAGATTCTAAAACTTTGTATAATAAAAATACATTCATGTTATTTTATTATCTGAATGACTGTAATTGATCTGTTTTACATAGCGATCCCAATATTTTTCCTGTTCAAACCACAAAATTAATTTATGTGGTTACTACATGTAGGTAGGTATTTAATTGAAGTTTTTATATAATTAATTAACTAAAGCATCGATATTAGGGAACCTGATTCTGCTTAAATTTAGTTTTAATATCTAATTGTTCATCACACGGTCCGAGTATCTATCTGCTTTGTGAATTTCCTTCGCGTCTGTAAATGCTGCAACATTTACAATAAGTTTCTTTTTTGCTTTGGGATCGTTTTCTTTGATATTTTCAGTAAACAAATATGAATTAATACTTTTTTCATTAAATTTACAGTTCAACCCAAATGACACCGGTCCAACTGCTGCAACATGCTTCTTTTGAAGAGTGAGTTGATGGCTTGATTTAGTTAACGTTATCAAACCTATTTTTGCGGTTTAATCTCACGTTCTCTATTGTTATTATTTTATTTCAATTGTATATTGTGTTAAGAAATAGACAATATCGTGCTAATACGATATTCAAATGTCCACAAATATTATTTGCCATACCTTAGTCGTTCGTATTCGAAACAACAGAAAAAAATTATAGACAATAAAAAAAAAACGAAATTAAACTGTAAAAAGTAGCTTCAATTATGTCTATGACTCGCGAAAACCGAAGAAAACATTAGATAGCCATTAATAACGGAATAAACACATCGTTCAGCGATTTATTCGAAAACTATTCCGCATGATTGTATACATACATTAAGAATTTGTTTAAATTTTTCCTAAAAATGCATATGACAAGGAATGATTTTTGTTGATACCCACTTCATTACTATCTACTAATTACCGCCACTAACCTTGAGACATGTGAAGTCTCAATTTTAATGTATGACGAGTGTTGTCATCAGAACACGTATTAAAGTATTAACGTGCTGTATATTTTGAAAATTTGATCTATCACCTATGATATTGTTTCTTCATTATCGAGAGAAAATACGGTTCTAGCATTCAATATACACTATATACTATATCACTCAACACTGGGCGCCTGTGCAACGTCTTAAGCTAATTACGATTCAAATTCTATTTTTTTTACGTTTCAGTTCAACGGACACGAATTTAACCAAAGGAATAACATCACAAAAGCTCAGTCCTTACACAGTAAGTTGAATGATTAGAAACACTTAAACGTTAACTTTTTTAAATAAAGCTTTGTTATTGTATTGTTGGTATTTTCTAGATAAAGCAACAAATCTTAGAAATTATGTCCGCTTTTCCAAATGCAAATGTAACTTATGAAGTGATAGGACGTACAGCCTCGTACAATGATATTCTGTTGCTGAAAGTAACTGAACTAAAAAGAGACATAACAAGATATTTTAGAGCAAATAAAAACAAGTATGTCGATGAAATACCCGAGAAGAAAGTGTTATTCATTGTACACGGATTAAACATTCTGGGAATTAATAATGTGCGGTGCTTAATTAATACTAAAGCTTTGGCTATTTTGCTATCGTATTACTTTGAGCACTTGGATAAGTTTGATATATTTTTCATTCCTCTGGCCAATCCGGATGGATATACATTTTTAGGTAATTCCCAGGTGTGTATCTTTTTTATTAATTTTCATATGATGATGTTTTATGAATTAATCGATTTATTGGCTCTTTTGGTGTAGGTTACAAGATATCGGTTACAAAAGCCCGCAACTAGGATATAGTTCTTAAATTTTAATTCCAAATTGCACTGCAATATCGAGTATCCTTAAATGCATCATTGCTTTCCAGAATAAATAACTAGAATATACGTAGATAAAAGTAAAGGGCCGGTGTCGAATTATATGTATTTTACGAATTTGAAAATTTGACGTACTAGCTTTAAGTGGGATTTGTAATAGTGCTTATAGCCACCGCCTACTATATGAAAGATGATCTTGGATTTAGTGGTTTTAGTCTATTTGAATGCTATTCGGGATCTGACTGTATTTTTTATTGTCTCGAAGTTTCTAGCATACATATCGTAAAATAATATCCTAGATTGATCATTCTCTTTTCAAAATCTATAGACTAAATTTAACTGTATGAATAGTAGATGTCAAAGAGCTCATGTAATGATTAAATAGACCTGTGTTATTGGTTTTAAGAAAATGCTATCAACTGCTTTGTGAAATCTCATATCTTTTTCCTCTAAACTGAAGATAATTTCCAAGTATAAATTGTTGAAAGTAGCCATAATATATCTTGGATATGATTGCAGCACATTTGGAATAAAAACATAGCACCACAAAACGACTGTCCTGGTGTCTTTCTGGACAGAAACTTCGACGTAGCCTGGAATGTTTCTAGCATAAACTCTTGCAGTCAGCTTTACCCTGGAGAACAACCATTTTCAGAGGTGGAAACCAGAGCTATTCGTGGTATCTTACATCGTTATAGCCACAAGATTATAGCTTATTTCAATGTACATGTCGGATCAATTAACCACAGAGTGATTAAGGTATAAAATTTAAAAATGTTCATTTATAGATTTATGTTCTTATCTGATTAAAGACTCAATCTTTTTTGTTAGTATCAAGAATTAAAAAAAAACTTCTAATCCTAATTCTCCTAATCGTAAACTTTAATAATATATTTATGAAAACCTATAATCTATTAGGGGGATGCAGTGTTGTATCCAAACGGTTATACCGACGTGCAAATAGATGATGACAAATACTTCGATCTGAAAGCAGAAATAGAAGAAGCAATGAAGAATTCAAGTTTTCAAAATGCTGCTGTCCAAGTTGAAACTTTGCAGAATTGGTATGGAAAGATTTCGGGTACCAGTGTCGATTATGCTTCCACGGTAATTGTATTTTTTTTGCTTTATTAGAATCCTCCTCCGTGCGTCGTATTCCTCAGTTCTGAGGATCGTGACCTTTACTGAGCACTTTTGTTAGGACTATGTTCCTCCATTCACTTTTGTCCTCCGCGCAGTGGATAGCGATATTAATGCTGGATTCCAAAGTCGTCTCAATCTGATCGGACCAGCGCATGTGACTACGCCCCCTAGGCCTCTTTCCTTCCACTTTGCCGGTGATGAGAAGTCTTTCGAGATTGTCACCCTTTTTCTGACCGAAAAACTCTAAAACCCTACGTAGGCAAATGGTGGAGAGTCTTAAGGAGACACCTAGTTCTTCCAGAATTGATGCGTTTGTCCGATGCGCCGTCCAGGGAATCCGCACCATTTTCCTCCAGCACCACATCTCAAACGCATCGATCTGACTTCGATCAGCCTTCTTCAGAGTCCATGTCTCCATATTAGAATAACAGATGATATAATAACCAAATTCTAACTTACTATAAAACATACAGGCCGCTACTACTGAAATTATTGTTGTAAATTCCAAATTACATAATTTATTAAGTCTTACATTAAATCTTTCCCAATACCCCTTATGTTTTAGGTCTATAACTCTTCTGATTTTATGTTGTAATTCTAACCTTCGTATTTTATTGCAGATATACGGCATCCCATTTGCAATGGAACTAGTAATGCAAACGTATGCAAATGGTCAGCCTAAAGAGAAACCCAGCACGCAAACACTTGCTTTGAGCGAAATATGGAAAAGAGTTATAGACACAACGTTTAATTTTATTTCGAGAAGAACAAACAACACTGAAATGGAATAAAGCACATCTTGTAATTATCTAATTTTGACCCAACAATGATGTAATCAATCTTGTTTTCCTTTTTTAAATACATATATAAAATAAATTTGATGGCTTTTATCAAGATACTCATCACAGAAGGATGCATATAAGACATTTATATGATATATGATTCCGTATATTTCACATTTGTACGGTTCCTAATATTTCAGCATTGTTCCAAGTGACATGTTCATGGACAGATTGAAGAGTGTGCTGATAAGAACAGGCAAATCCAAGATCTGATTTCTAATGCCTTTATTATAGATATAATAGTTTTTCAGTGTGCTCCTTCTAGCACTACATGACGATCACGACCGCTCTGTCAAGAGTGACACGATTGAGAAGAAGAAACGAAGGGAAATGAGGGAACTAGGGATCAATATATATATGTATATGTATCAATATTATCAAAGTATTTAAATATAAAATAGCAATTCATGTGCACAAATTGGTTAAGATCTCATCTTTACCAGGCAATTTCATTTTAAATGTATTGTTCAAATATTGTATTGCAAAAACTGTCTAAGTTTCCAAGACCGAAGACGCTAGTGTTAAACAATGACTATAAGCATGGTTGGCCTTGACTTTACTTTATGTAGCAAAGAACCTCAAAGATGCATATGTTTAATTATAAATTGTTTATTAAATATTACAAGGTGTACCTACTAATTGTATTATCGATATAATTTTTACGTAACCTTAAAATTTGATTTAAAAAAAAATCATGTATTCGCTTTCTAATTTTACTGGAAATATCTTGTTCTATAAACATTTAATTTGTGTAATGCTAAACGAATTAGTTCCAGATTCCAAAGATCACGTTCGCGCGTTCTCAAATACCATTAGCACTATGAATACATCATTAGACATTGAATTTGCTGCTTCTAATAACATTCCTGGTTTCAATAGCGTTTCGGAACACACCATATAACATAACACCAATAACTAGTATCATTTGTTTAAACAATTATTCATTAGAAAATGTATACACACGAGCGCCATAAAAACTAATGCGAAACCGGTACAATTATAATATTATATTATACATATTTGTCGAATATGAGTAATACTTTCTCTGGTGTTCGTCATCGCGACTGCACCGTCAAAAAGGATGCTTTGTTCATTGTAAAATGCCAGTTCATTTCGAACTGTGTGTTTCATTAACCTCAAAAACTTCCATGTATATTAACCATATTAATTCGGTAGTCTCAATGTGTGTCGACCGGGTCAAACTTGTTATGAATAAAGAAGGAGTCGTTCGAGAGGAAAGCGAACGTTTATATAGTTTTTTGGTTATATTTATCGTCGCTTTTGTTTAAATCCGTCCTGTTTTCACTGCGGAATTCGAGGTAGTCACGTCTTTAGATTCAAATAGGGTGCTGTCACATACAAAGCAGTCAGCCAAAGTATTGCGCATGCTAGATGATGATTTAAACTAGATTTTCTAAATTATATTCCGGTTTAAGCTTGGAATGACTAGTTGCAAAACAAAAATATTTCTGAAATAGCACTGTAATTCTGTTTCAATATATTTTAGTTAAGCCATACTGATATTATTAGCTGTGTTGATCGAAGGCCATTAGGCATTTAAAATACCACCTGCACCTTCGTTGATAAGATATGCGTGTCTTAAATATTGTTTTAGTTAAGTATGAATTGCTTGCATGAGCAATGTCCTCATGAGTAATTTAAATCTATATCTATATATATAAAAGTGAATTGCTGTTCGTTAGTCTCGCTAAAATTCGAGAACGGTTGGACCGATTTGGCTAATTTTGGTCTTGAATGATTTGTGGAAGTCCAGGGAAGGTTTAAAAGGTAAATAAATATGAAAATGCTTGGAATTATATAAAAATAACAATTTTGTGATTCCTTTGATGTGTCCCCCATCGGACGGATTCCTTTTGTCTTTTATTTATCGATTGAGGCACTACGAAGTCTGCTACGGGTCAGCTAGTAGATTATAAAATATAATGCTATCATAATGTAAGTTTTAAAAATATTTAATAATAAAATATTACAAGCGTGGCTGTTAGTTGACGATTGAGCAGCTGTCGACGACGCGGGCTCATGTGTGTATTCGATTTCATTTGATTCCGAGACGAAAACGGTGAAGCCTTTTTCGATTACTCAATTGACGAGAAATCTCGATTCCTTATGCTACTCATCTCAAACATATGTTCGCTTTCATCGATATTTTTTATGGTTTGTTTTGAATAATAATATATAGATAACGGATACGAAATATTTTACTGCGAGAAATTGAAAATCGATTTGTAACTCGGTATGAATTTGACCGTAAGGAATGGATGTTTGTCGAGGACATTGTTTATCATAAGAAGAGAGTTAGCGTTCACATAATTATTTGATTAAGTACTGCAACGTTTTATTGATTTTAAGTAGCACAGGTTTATTCAAGTTTCAAGCTCATTCACATTTCTCTGGTAATGAAACAGTCACTGTACTACTACTTTTATTTTTTATTGTCCTTGTAGGCAGACGAGCATACGGCCCACTAGATGGTGAGTCGTTACCGTCGCCCATGGACTTCAGCAATGCCAGCGGCAGAACCAAGCCGCTGCCTACCGCTTTGTTAATTTTCATTACACAATTAAACTAAAGCCTTCGTCAAACAGAACGCGTACTTAGCGCCGCGTACTTAACGTCGCGCTCTCTTCATGTCACACAAATTGACTAGATGAGTCCAACGCTCCTTGACGCAACGCATTCGCCAAATCATAGTGCCTTTAGATAGCAGTGTGAAAATTTAAAAGTATTAAGAAATCGAGTGATTCAGATGTGGCATTGTATAAGCATGGGTATTTTCTAACTATTTATATCATTTTTTCGGGCATTATCTAGTATTTTAATACACATTCACTCGGACGCTAAAATAAAATTTGTAAAAAATTACAACGCCTGACGTCAAAGCGTCCTAACGCTGCGACAGAGCGCTGCGTTCTTATAGCGCTGGGGCTCTGTTTGACTGTATGTTACCATAGTAGTACAACACATCTCGGCGTCATAGCGCGGCATCAGTTTAGCGCTCTGACGCGTGCTAATTACGCGTTCTGTTTGACGAAGCCTTAAGTATCCAACTTAGGATTCTTATAGTCGATATCCCCATTTATCAAATGACACAAGCGTTCCTCAGAATGTAGGCTCGTAACAGGACTTCTTTGTCCGAAGCATGAAAACAAAACCGTATTTCTTTTAAAAGACCTCACCGTGAAAAGACTCCTCAGTCATTGATCCCTGTAAACGTATTCATTGAATTGAAGAATTCGTTTCGCGTTTTGTCTAATTATTATCGTGATTTTCTCATTAAATATCAAAACAACTATGGACGGTTTTTCTTTTTCATTTGAAAAAAAAATCTTTCAATATATTTTTTTTAATTTCTGTCTTTTGCGTTTTTGGAAGAATTACATTACAACTAATTTAATACATTCGACGGTCTAACTAGGACTTGTACCCGATTTAAATTTAGAATAGAACTATAATTGTTCTTCAAAGAAGATTTGACACAATATTGATAGCGCTATTTTGCGAAATAGCTGGCTAAATAAATATTAATATAAATACATAGTTAATTTTTTTATGTTTTTTATTTCTTTTTATTGCTTTGATGGGTGGACGAGCTCACAGCCCACTTGGTGGTAAGTGGTTACTGGAGCCCATAGACATCTACAACGTAAATGCCGCCAACCACCTTGAGATATGAGGTCTAAGGTCTCAGTATAGTTACAACGGCTGCCTCACCCTTCAAACCAAAACGTATTACTGCTTCATGGCAAAAATAGGCAGGGTGGTGGTACCTACACGCGCGAACTCACAAGATGTCCTACTACCAGTAAAAACTGAAATCAGTTAAGAAATATTGAAACATTCGTGATTGTGGGTAAGACGTTTCTAAGTAAACTTATGTGTATGTATCAACATTTATTCATTATCGATCATCACGATGAAAGAATAATAGCGCCTGTTATCTAAAATCCCTAAAATTTACATAATTCCTGGTGTTAGGGCGCTTAAGGAGCCAAATGGTATTTACGACTATTGTACCTATCCCTACAGAAGCAGTAATGCGTACCGCTGAGAAGCTTATAACAATAATAATACAATACGATTTATACCTTATGTTTTAAGGTCAGTCCCTTTGCGTGTAAATGACCTTTGGTAATCAATTAAGACCAGCTCCTTTTTGCAAAGAAAACGAATATCCGAGCCCCCGATTACGGCGCTTCAGCTTGATACATGAGAAACATTTTTACTTATGGTATGACCTCTTGTGAGTCCGCATTGGTAGGAACCACCACCCTGCCTTTTTCTGCCGTAAAGCAGTAATGCGTTTCGGTTTGAAGGGTGGGGCAGCCGTTGTAACTATACTGAGACTTTAGAACTTATATCTCAAGATAGGTGGCGCATTTACGTTGTAGATGTCTATGGGCTCCAGTAACCACTTAACATCAGGTGGGCTGTGAGCTCGTCCATACATGTAAGCAATAAATAAAAAAAAAACAGAGAAGCAATAGAAATCGTCTAAATACAAAGACACTTCTGCCTACAGTGCACGTAAGTTTGTGCCTGCAACAATAAGCTGAAGTCCGTTACCGGTGATGCGTGGGTAAACTCGTTCCTTACAATGATTGCAGTTCAATAAACCTTAACAGCTTAATGCTTTAAATAAGTTCATTGCCACAGAGAAGTTCAATACTAGTTCGGCGCTACAATTTTGTACGACACTTATTGAAATACGTACGACTGGGATACCTATTCTCAAAATTGTACCGAGTAGCCAGTATCGAGTTCGCTATTCTTCATCACGGCCATATTAGTAGCAATATTTCATTATCGGATGCAAGCCTTGAAAGAAAGAGAAAGAAGAAGGATCGATGAATTAGAAATGTGGTGCTGGAGAAGGATGCTCCGCATATCTTGGACTATGCATCGCACCAACGCTTCGATTCCAAAAGAAC